TGAAATCTGGATGTTGAAGTTACACTTCTGGTGATGTTGTGTACAGTGGACATGAAATCTGGATGTTGAAGTTACACTTCTGGTGATGTTGTGTACGGTGACATGAACTCTGGATGTTGTAGCTACACTACTGGTGATGTTGTGTACGGTGACATGAAATCTGGATGGTGAAGTTAAACTATTGGTGACGTTGTGTACAATGGACATGAAATCTGGATGTTGAAGTTACACTTCTGGTGATGTAGTGTACAGTGGACATGAAATCTGGATGTTGAAGTTACACTACTGGTGATGTTGTGTAGTGGACATGAAATCTGGATGTTGTAGCTACACTACTGGTGATGTTGTGTACACTGGACATGAAATCTGGATGGTGAAGTTAAACTATTGGTGACGTTGTGTACAACGGACATGAAATCTGGATGTTGTAGCTACACTAGTCACTACTTGTGATGTTGTGTACGGTGGACATGAACTCTGGATGTTGTAGCTACACTAGTCACTACTGGTGACATCGTGTACAGTGGACATGAAATCTGGATGTTATAGCTACACTACTGGTGACATTGTGTACAGTGGACATGAAATCTGGATGTTGTGCGTTCTTGAATCTTTCAAAAATAGTGGACAACCATTCATGAAACTAGATTTGAATCATCATTTCATGAAAATAAATGCGACATATACTTCTAATTATTTCAAAATTATACCTATGCCATTTATGGAACAAGATTGGGATGCTTGTATCATTAAAAAATAATGTTATTTTAGAATCTTGTAGAATCAGTTGATATTTACTTCATGGGGAGGAGAAATATTCTGGCAGGTCATGTGATAAAAATAACGAGTTGCACATTGTTGAATCTTTCAGGCAAGTTGACAGTGAATTCGTAGAAAACATAACATCTTCAATTAAACATTTACCTCTGGAAAGAAATTATACATATATATCAAATAATTCAATCAATAACTTGAATATTAAATGGTTTAACAATGAACAATAACTAATGTTTTAATTCTGAACACACATCTTTTCACAACAAACATACTTTTGGGAGGTAAAGTAAACTTCAATTGGAAGCAATGTTTTTACAAATTAAATTCTGAATATATACATGTTTAATAACAAAAATTGTTCAGCCAATTTTATGAAAGTGAAAATATTGTGAACAAAATTAAAACACTTCAAAATATACTATCATATCTAAACATTTAAAATTGTGCGACCTGAACATATTTTTTTCTTCAAATTAATTTTTTAATTCATTCATGGGTAAACTTTCTTGCAGGATGGGTGCGCAAACGGGGTGAAAAGATTTTTGAATCCAGGCTCAGACAATACACAAAGCATATACTGTCAAGAAAAGAAACGGAATGTATCTCTATTCAATTTAATAGCAACAAATTTTAACATAGATATTACTGAATGTGTTTTTGAAATTTTCACAAATCAGAATCAAGTATCTAAATACCCAGAAGATACAATACATGTATTGCCCTTCAGAGGATCATGATACCTATACAGAAACAGAATGCCTCTACAATGTTACAGCTCTCTATTACATAGAAATAGGTCAGGTCGGACAACCTTAAATGTTTACATCAACAATCACTATCAGATGAATTGTCAGAGATGATCATCTTGGCCAAGTTTGAGCGAGCCTGAGTTTTCGACGCCTGTGAGACTCTTGACATTGTTATTTCCTCATCAGCAGTATTGGAGGATTGTTTACCCCTCCTTTTACTCGTCTGTCTACCACTGGGTTTCTGTTGCACTTCCATCTGTGCAACAAATCCTTTTTCGAGACTAACAAAGTGAGATTCAAGTTTTTGTCCCACTGTCTCACTTGTATCTTCATCGTCGTCCCGACAAAATCTTCCTGGTTCCAGATGGGAGAGGGATTTCAACTCATCTCTCCTCACCGGAGATGCAGCAGCAACATTCGCTGACTTACTAACTTTGGGTTTACATGCACTACCCATTTCCTTATCACTTGAGCTACTCTCCGACAGCTCAACAACTTCCTTAATAAGCTTATAAGGCTTACCTTCACTCTTCTTAGAATCACCTTTCAACTTGCCTTTGCCCTTTCCTTTACCTTTACCCTTTGACCTTTGCCTTTCACTGACCTCTTTACCTTTCAACTTTTCCTGTGTTTCAGCCATAGCATCTTTTGCTTTTTGTATATGGGCCTTATTTGCCTCGGTTTGGGAAAGTTCAGAAGTAGGAGCACTTGTTAATTTTGAAAGAGCCTTTTTGACACAAGAACTTTGTGCCTTTTTAGATTCTAAAAAAGCTTCTGGTTGAAAAAAATTGTCAATTCTTCCCTGGCTCTGAAATGGATGCAAGAACAATTAAACAGGCTAGTCACCAACTTATCATAAGGAAATCTCTAATTAGATAAACAGGCTAGTCACCAATTTATCATCAGGAAATCTTTAATTAAATGGATATGATAGCTTTTTGTTTACTTAGATATGCTTATCACCTACCATTCTCTGGGAAACCTCTTACTAAATGGGTTTCACAATGATTTCAAATTTGGAAACCTCTATATGGATCTGACAATGTTTTTGTATTCTTAAACATTCTAATCAGCCACAAATCCTCAGGAAACCTCTCATTAAATGGAATGTATAGTGTTTAGTATACTGACCTGTTTCTCGTTCATCTTCTTCATCACCGGACGGAGATTCTCATCCACCTTTTCTTTCCTCCAGCCAAATTTCTCTCTGGCATAACTAGATCTAGGTCAGGAAAAACAGGGCTACATTTTTTATATCAAAATGAAAGCTAGTATTTTATCAAAAGAGAAAACTAGTATTGTGAAAACTAGTATTTTATCAAAAGTGAAAACTTGTAAATTAACAGGATATTCCTTTTTTCTTCTGTTAAATACCAGTTATTACACTGAGTGGGCCGAATATTTTACATTTACAACAGTGTGGAGCGCCAGTTTAAAGGTAGAAAAAATACTCATTCCATCTTTTATTTTAAGCATAACTGGTCGTCATCGAGAAATGAGAAATCCTATCAACATAGTGATAACATACCTGTCACTATACAAAATCACAGGTGTCTTGGATATGATAGATCAGCTTTACATTATTTACAAGACATCATTTAATAGTTTCAGGGACACTCCTACCAAAATATTTTGCAAAATGTAATATGGAAGCGATAACTAACCCTCAATCAGGGATTTGATATTTTGAGAACAGTCTTTGGGTTTAAATTAGAAAATATCATCAGAAAAACTAAAAATTCTATTGAAAATGCATAATCTGCTATGCTTTTACCCTTAATAAAAAATAATAATAAATAAAAAATAAACTGTTCTGCTTGTGTGTTTGTAATTTATCGGTCGAATAAATTAAAAAACGAAGCCAATTTTTAAATTTGGGTCTGTCTGAACAATAGGAGTGATGAGAAATCCCTGTAAAGAAATAGTCACCTTTGTTGATATCCAGCTTCCTGAGTTTATTCCTGATCTTGGTGTCCTTGTCTTGCTGATGTCCTACTCTGTCCTACCAGGACCTGAAACAACACCAGGCCACATCACCATGTGTCGAGGAACCTTTTGACCATAATTACTGGGGATGGGTATCACAAACAAAACCAGGCCACATCACCATGTGTCGAGGAACCTTTTGACCATAATTACTGGGGATGGGTATCACAAACAAAACCAGGCCACATCACCATGTGTCGAGGAACCTTTTGACCATAATTACTGGGGATGGGTATCACAAACAAAACCAGGCCACATCACCATGTGTCGAGGAACCTTACGACCGTATTCACTGGGGATGGGTATCACAAACAACACCAGGCCCCATCCCCATGCGTCGAGGAACCTTATGACCGTAATCACGGGGGATGGGTATCACAAACAACACCAGGCCACATCACCATATGTCGAGGAACATTATGACCATAATTACTGGGGATGGGTATCACAAACAAAACCAGGCCACATCACCATGTGTCGAGGAACCTTTTGACCATAATTACTGGGGATCGGTATCACAAACAACACCAGGCCACATCACCATATGTCGAGGAACATTATGACCATAATTACTGGGGATGGGTATCACAAACAAAACCAGGCCACATCACCATGTGTCGAGGAACCTTATGACTGTAATCACTGGGGATGGGTATCTCAAACAACACCAGGCCACATCACCATGTGTCGAGGAACCTTTTGACCATAATTACTGGGGATCGGTATCACAAACAACACCAGGCCACATCACCATATGTCGAGGAACCTTATGACCATAATTACTGGGGATGGGTATCACAAACAAAACCAGGCCACATCACCATGTGTCGAGGAACCTTACGACCGTAATCACTGGGGATGGGTATCACAAACAACACCAGTCCACATCACCATGTGTCGAGGAACCTTATGACCGTAGTCACTGGGGATGGGTATCACAAACAACACCAGGCCACATCACCATATGTCGAGGAACATTATGACCATAATTACTGGGGATGGGTATCACAAACAAAACCAGGCCACATCACCATGTGTCGAGGAACCTTTTGACCATAATTACTGGGGATGGGTATCACAAACAAAACCAGGCCACATCACCATGTGTCGAGGAACCTTATGACCATAATCACTGGGGATGGGTATCACAAACAACACCAGGCCCCATCCCCATGCGTCGAGGAACCTTATGACCGTAATCACTGGGGATGGGTATCGCAAACAACACCAGGCAACATCAACATGTGTCGAGGAACCTTATGACCGTAATCACTGGGATGGGTATCACAAACAACACCAGGCCACATTACCATATGTCGAGGAACATTATGACCATAATTACTGGGGATGGGTATCACAAACAAAACCAGGCCACATCACCATGTGTCGAGGAACCTTTTGACCATAATTACTGGGGATGGGTATCACAAACAACACCAGTCCACATCACCATGTGTCGAGGAACCTTATGACCGTAATCACTGGGGATGGGTATCACAAACAACACCAGGCAACATCAACATGTGTCGAGGAACCTTATGACCGTAATCACTGGGAATGGGTATCACAAACAACACCAGGCCACATCACCACGTGTCGAGGAACATTATGACCATAATCACTGGGGATGAGTATCACAAGCAATTCTCATGTAGTAATATATGGCAATATTTTAACAAATGATGCAATTTATCTTTATATCGTAACCCTAGAAATTAAGAACATTTATAATTGTTTTATACACCGGTAGGAAATACAAAGTGAGCATCTGCCATCAGGTAAACAATGAAAATTGGAAAATATTATAAATGTTTGGTAGATATCACACCAAGCATGCTGCATTTGAATAAAATTGATTTATCTGTTATTTTTGTACAACTATTTCATAATTTTGTTTAAACCCCCAAACAATCAACTGAAAACATATGGCAATACATTGCCACTTTAAAATCATATTGCAATATATATTTTGCTTGATAGATATTGCATTTACATTGATACGGTACTGCAATAGTATTGCCCACCCCTAATAATCACATCAAGAAACTATTCTTGCTTTTACAAATGGGCTGGTGAATGGTGACTTCCACAAGTGATATATGAGAGTCAAGGAGCCTATTGGGTGACCACCACCATACACTATTATTTATACAGATACAAGTAAAACCAATTTTTGAATACTTCTCCAATGTAAAGTGATATTTGCTTTACTTGAAGTCAACAAGTCCCTGGATTCCTTTCCCTGGAGTCTCTGCCATGATCTCCGGAGCAGACACAGGACCGACCCTCTGTACCCCCAAGGTGTAGTCACTGCCACACAGCAGGGCAATGTTGGTCATTTTCTCTCGGCACAAACCTAGAACAAACACACTTTGGATAAGAATAATGGTCTATGATGCATAATTCTGCAGATACTCTTTATATGTACATGGATTGAGAAAATACTACATTTTCTCTCATTTCTTTCAGTAATAACCAATAACTCATTCATCCCTACAGACACATTTGAACTCTTCCAATTAAAAAATTAGAATAGTTCATTACTAAATTTCAGGGGTGAACGAGTTTAATAAATTGTAGATGATTTGTGATGAACACACTTAATTTGGCCACTTTACCTTAATAATTACAATAGTTTGTGTTTCATGAATATGAATGTTTTACTTTAAAGTTATGGTTTCTGTTATGCTTGACTACACAATAAATGTGAATACAAACAAAAACATGCATCTACAGTATGTTAATTGGTTATTTATTTTCAATTTCAAATTGGGGCTGGGGGGAATGTTTTCAAGGAAATTTGCATTCAAATTATAGAGATTTGTTATAAATAAAAAGGAGGAATAAGAAAGGAAAAATTTAAGAAAGACCAAACTGTTAAAATCAAATCAGCCATTCTAGACTAGTAGTGTTTTAATTGGGAAGTTGATGGCAGTCATAGCATAAGATCACAAGGCCCTTTGGGCAATGTCAGCTAAAAATCTTAAAACACTTTACCTAATTGATCATCTATATTAGTTCTCTGGAAAAATTCAACATGCTTGTTCTGATTGAAGAAGTTTTTGTAGACTCGGGTCCCACCAGCTTACCAGATATCGCTGCCATCAGTGATGGATCCTTCTGTTTGATTGGCGAGGTCCATAAACTCACACTGAGCCTCAGCCTCCATCGGACTGACGATGTAGGGAATTTAAAACAGCTCCTGAGCAAAATTTAAAATGTGAACAAATTTTAATATTTTGATTTTGCAATATTGGATTCAAACAGTGACAATTACATAGATATATATTTTCTTTCCTTTCAAGAGGTTAAGTCCTAAATCCTTGTTTTAACTTGCAAAAAAAAAGATGGATTCCTCATTTCAATAGACCTTCAGTGTTCATCCCATAACATCTTGGAAGGATCCAAACTTTGTAATTTACTTGTTAAGGCAGCATACTATTCTAATTCAACCTTTTCAAAACTGTAGACAATAATGGAAATTTCAGGGAAGGGATTTGAATTTTTGTATCTTTTCACTGGTGAACATTTTGGTATGACACTTTGAAGCATTGTTGCTCAGAATTAAACAAGGAGTCAACTGACCAAAGGTCAAGGGATATGTAAATAAAAAAGAACTGTAACAAAGCCAGATAAATTGAATTTATACAAGTTCAATAAGATAGAACGGGGGGTTTATTTATGAGAGTAAAGAGTAGCACTGCACAATGGTGAAATCTTTATCATATTTTCTAAAATGCCAAATCTTACTTTACAGATGTACCTCTGCAATGTCTGCGACAGACAATTCAGTTCCCGGGGGAACTTGAACTGTCACCCGTGGTGCATACAGGCAGAGCTATGATTGTAGACGGTGTGAGCGGAAGTATTTCCGGGGCGACGATTTGTTTCGTCATTTTTAGGCAGTCCACAACAGGAAGGTGACTACCAAGCCTAGGAGGTCCCCATCCCGCCACAACATAATAAGGACTGAGCGTTCTGAGCCTAAAGAGAAGGGCGATGTCATTGATGTCCTGGCTGAGGATGAGGGAAGAATCAAGATGTCCCTGAGGCAGAGGTGGAGGTGTCTGTTTTACCATCCCCATTTGTGGTGGATTGCCAGTGATCCACCATACTGGAAGGAAGTATTGGTAAGAACATCTGTTTAGGAGAATACTACTGGGCGCCGCCATCTTGGATATCGCGCGGTGTGACGTCAGGGTGCACAGTAATATTCCGAACGGTATTCCGGAATTGGGCACTCGACCCACCCCAGACAAGACAGGCGATTGGCAGGGTTTTCTATTCATCATCAAAATAAGGATTTATTACTAAGTTTTATCTTAGACATTTATTAGAATATATTCGTATGTATTATAATAGCAAATAATTCATTATTATCTATTTCAATATATATTTAAAGCTATAGTATTGTATAGAATGCTACTCTAGAAACGTATTAGTACTTACTAGGCCTAGTACCGTTTGACATTGAACATAGATACTAGTTATTATCATGTTTTTTTAATGACTGTTTTTCCTGCTATATAATCTATGCAATTTATTCTTTTATTATCACCTGATTTTATGCTGATTTTTTTTCATATCACTTTATTTTGTCCACTGTCACAAAAAAAATTACAGGTAAATGGCGGTAATGATTCATGATAAATGGCCCTGGGGACCTTCTGTCACACTTGGACGCGTTATGTAAACAACGCCGCGCCCTAACCGGGTATTTTTTTTACACCTGGCTGACTGTCAAACAATAGCTTACACCTGGCTGACAATAGGTTAACCTTACATACTTGTTAACAGGATATTCACCTGTGGTTGCGGGAGCCAGGACAGTCTTACATCTGTAAACTTTTCTAATGCCAAATGTACATGTGATGTAATCTTTCAACTAACATGTGTACTATCCTCGATTACAGCTCGATCATCTCCAGATTGAATTTATGTTGTCGTGAAGTAGGCATAAGAGTGAAAGGTCTTCCGTAAAATATGACGAATGTTAATTGAGATTAAAATAAAGAGTGTCTTTCACACAATAAATTTCTTAAATTATTTAAGTTTGATCAATAGAAGGTTCACGTTCAATACGAAAAAATCATCTTTGTTTTGAATCTCAAATAACCCACGTACAACATGGTGTTGTCCTAATTCTACCATTATGCTGTTGGTGTAAAATCATGATCTGCGAGAATTTATTCATTGCAAAATTGTACTATGTAAACTATGTATATGTCTCCCTGTCTCTGTCTATCCACATGTAACAGATCAC